GCGGTCCACGTGTCAGGGGTGCACAAACCGCCCCGGCCTGCGTGTCAGGGGCGGAAAAATGGCTGCGGACCACAGGGCGGCGTAAAAATGGCCGCGGATCACGTGTCAGGGGCGGAAAAATGGCTGCGGACCACGTGTCGGGCGGAAAAATGGCCGCGGACCATGTGTCGGGTGGAAAATGGCCACGGACCACGTGTCAGAGGCGTAAAAATGGCCGCGGATCACGTGTCAGGGGCGGAAAAATGGCGGACCACGTGTCGGGCGGGAAAATGGCCGTGGACCATGTGTCATGGGCGGGAAAATGGCCGCGGACCATGTCACGGGAGGGAAAATGGCCGCGGATCCTGTTCGTGACCCGAGGCGGAGTTCGCAAACCGAAGCAAAATTTTGCGGCTGGAGCTGGTCGTCACCCGAAAAGTTCGTGAACAGAAGCGTTCGTAACCCGAGGTTTCACTGTAAATAAAAGTGAATAGGCATTCTTAAAGATGATTGTAGATGCTGCCTATGGTGTTGAGAATGGTATCTCTGGATACACTGACTTATTTGGGGTTTTTTTCTTTTGTTTTATTGATTAGCGTGTATATAGAAAACTGTGGATATAGGATAGATGATATATTTCAATAAATGCCAGATTCCCATTTTTCCCAAGTTTTTCTGTTCACTCTATAGCTTTATGAATGCACACATAATTTAAGATTGTTTCTAAGAATTTTATCTGAATTAAACCTTATCTTTATTGGACCTTATTAGAATCTTAGTAGGTCACAGAAAGTACTAACAAAATCTATCTTCTGTTTTCAGAAATTGGTTGCCCAAATGAAACAGGATCCACAGGTAAAATCTGTTTTATTTGTACTCTTCATTGTATTATTAAAGTTTAATGTAAGAAATCCAATTTTTATATATTTCACTGGATTACCTTTTTGAATTAAATTAAAAAGTATGTAGACATTTTTAAGTACAGTATTAGTACATAACTTAAGTAGTAGTGTGTTTGATACCGTGTTCTGCTGTCCAGAAAACATACTGTGATTAATTTCTGGTTTGTGTTAAATTAGTGACTTAACACTTATGCTTGTTTTAAATCATGGTTTGTAATTGTTGTTTGGCAGTCAAGTAGAATCATAGTTTACTCCAGCTGGGTGAATTATAATTTGCTGTGAATCCGGAAGTAAAACTAAACAGAGTATGCAGCTACAGTAGGGAATGCAGTCTGAAGCTCAGTCATGTTACTTCAGAGTAGACCCATAATTTGTTTTTACACATGAACTAGAAATGATACAAGCAGTAGTATCAAATTATATAGCTATCTTAGTTTGCTGTTCATAATCTTTCAGACTGAAAAAGCTCCCTTGAAGCTGTGCTCTATATAGAAGTTAGGACAGATTCTGTAATTCATGTTGTTGGGTATTTCCTTATAAAATAGCCATTTGTGTGCTGACTGTTGAAGGAATGTTTCATGATAGTAGCTTTATTAAATATCCTACAATGCAGGGCACATACTTTGCAGTATTATTTTAAAGAACAGACTGTGCTAAGCATTTAATGGGGTGCTTGGTAAAGCATTGAGTCCTAGGTAGTTTCTGCAATGGAAGTACACACTTGTTCAGACAATCTAGGAAAGTTCTTCAAGATGTTAAGCCTTTTGGAAGCTGCAGTTACCTCAGTGTTTTGAGAGGGGGTGATTTACCATTGTTAGTGTGCTTCACAAAGCTCCCTTTCATGTATACTGAACTGCTCTAGTAATTTTTTTCAGAAAGTAAAATAAAAATTCCAGATTTATAGGTAATAATTTTGATTTGGCTTATCACCTAGAGAGTAGAATCCTAGTTCTCTTGATTTTAAGGCACTTGACAAAGTTCAGTGGATTTACAATAGAAATGCGTATCCACTAAAACTTCAGCTTTTGAAGTATACTTTTACCTCATGTACGTTGTAGGACACAGAGGCTGGGGATCAGATTTAGAGGTGGATGATAGTTTTGTATTAAATGACTTTTTGAAATAATTGCATTTTTTTCTTTGCAAAGAACAGTCCATAGAGCTTCCATGTATGCTTTTATAGACCATATATATAAAGCCTTCTTGATGTCCTTATTAATCAATTTTCAGTGAATGACACTTCATATTTTGCCTTCTCTATCAACTCTGACAATATTCTAAGAGTCAGTAAACAAATATAGTACCAGGAAATTCAAATGTTTTTTGTATGTACAGGGTCTTCGTTGTTATAGTATATTTTTGCTTTATTAAATAGACTTACTGCAATTCTGTTTTAATAAGTGGAAATGTTTTTAATACACTTTTTTTTTAAAGCAGAATGCTGATTTGAAGAAGCAGCTTCATGAACTCCAAGCCAAAATCACAGCTTTGAGTGAAAAACAGGTAGGGAACTAGTATACCTTTGATACAGATTCCAAACATTTCCTACCAGTTAGCAGTTTTTTGTGTGTATAAAAATAGATGTGGCAAACTAGCATTTGGATCTTCTTCAGTGTATGTACCAAAGCAGAAATAAGTATTTGGTATTGTGTGTGTAAGTGTACGTATGTATGCCTTTGAGTTATATAGTCTTGACTCCTAGCAGCTACATGGACAAGTCCATGCAATTTTCTTGGCAACATTTGCCAGTTGCCGCCTTCCTAGGGCTGAGGGAGTAACTGGCCTGAAGTCACCCAGTTGCTTTTTGTGCCTAAGGCAGGACTAGAATTCATAGTCTTCCAGCTTGTAGTCCAGTGCCTTTAACCACCACACCAAACTGAAACTTATTTGGTATAATCAAAGTGCAGTTTATCTGGTGCTGTGTGGTACTGGAATCTAGCTCTAAAACTGTAGTGTTGTAAAAGAGTAATGTGTATACTCTGTAAGGTGTAAATTGGAAAAGATTGGTCATATTAAGAGTTTTAAATGTTAGAAGAGGGGTGACTCAAGCACACTGCCTCCAGTTTGCCATTGAATTTGAATGTTGTTGGTGAATTGCTAAGAAACATTGTCTAAATATTTGTTGAAAGTTAAAGATAAGGAAGAAATGACAGATGACCAACTCCTAGGCTGTTATAGATTTATGTGAAGATCATCCATATGTTGTTAAAGTGTAGAAATGTATGTGATTGATCTATTTACCTTTTAAATAGCACTTTTTCTCATTTTTGAAAGCTTTATTTAATGAAGGATGGTTGAATATTTGAGTTCTCAATGTGTGTGTATGTAATCACCTGGATCTCTCAAAAGCATCTGGCTGGCCATTGCCAGGAATAAATTTTTCTTTAAGTTTATTTAGACATTGATTTAATATACTATAAAGTATTAATAGATGATACATTAATGTATTAATTTTCCCTTTCCCAATCCCCTCCCCCCAAAAGATCCATATGGTGCTCTTGTTCCCACTATTTAGGAAGGCAATAAAAATGGAGCTGTTCAGAAAGCTTTTAATTGTTAAATCTTATAATTGGGAGATACCTATTGCTATGTAATTTTTATTTTGTGTTTTATTATATGTTCTATGCTGTACATTACCATGAGTACTTTGGTACTGTAACATTAGACAGACAGATAGAATCTCTTAACATGCCACATAAGGCTGAATATAACTCTTGGCCTCAAAAAAACTGCCCATCCATTTCAAGTGAGCATTATCTTACAATATATCTGTTGAAATTAGTCTTACTCTTGAATTTCAAGTTTATAGTTTTATAACTTCTTCTCACTTTATTTATATCTTGAGTGTTACATTACAGGCTCTAAAGGCCTGTCGCCTGTGTTTTCAAATATACATCAGCCCTGCATTTCTGACTGATATCACAATGTGCTTTGGAGCATGTATGTGTGCATAAGTATTCAAGGAAGAAATCTCTGATATGAATGTGAATAAAAAATATGGCCAACCACTTGCCAGAGTGACTCTGGGTGACTAACATAACATTAAAAACAAGAATCAACAAAAGTAAAATTATAAACAGACATATTCTGACTATAAAATACACATATCTATTCTTTAAAAATATTTAGGGAACTCTGAATCAGTATAAAGTCTATAATTTATCTAAGTGGTTATAAGATGCTTAGAATTGGTTACAACTGAAGTGGCTTATAAGCCTAAATAAATAAAGACTGAATTTATAATCCTTTGTCAAAAACTTTATTTGAAGCCTTCTTGGTGATTTTTCTTAGTCCTGGAAAGTTCTGAATAGTTAGAACCAAACAGCTAGAATCCAAAGAACTATTTAGATAATACAGGGGCTTGGGGTTATACAGAGGATTTCATTTATTTCGTTATTTACTCGATTTATATAGCCACCCGTTGTACTTTTATGTGACTCTAGGTAGCTTACAATAAAACAACAACCAAAAAACCACAAAATACATAATATGAAGCAAAAATAAAAACACATAGCAGCTGGGCACAATCTAATATGTCATCTATACAACCAGGAGATTGGCTCTAATTCACGCCCAGGCCCCCAGATCCAAACACAAAGCCAGGTTTTCAAGGTCTTACAAAAGGCCAACAAGGATGGGGCCAATCTAATCTCAAGGGAAATGATGTTACAAAGGAATAGTGCCACAGCAAGAAAGGCTGTCCTGGGCCGTGCCAGCTGACACTAGCTGATCCCTAACGGATGGTACCTGGAGCATGCCCTTCCAACCAGATCGATAGGATGGGTAGAAACAGTTCGGAAGAGGCGGTCCTGTAAGCAACCTGGTCCTAAGCTATGAAGGTGACAAGCCAGCACCTTGAATTGTACCCAGAAGCATACTGAAAGCCAGTGCAGCTTGGGGAGCAGTGGTGTCACATGTGCTGAGTGACTGGCACCAGTAACTTACCACACTGCTACATTTTGCACCAGTTGAAGCTTCCAAATACACTTCAAGGATAGCCCTACGTAAAGCCATTGCAATAGTTCAATCTGGAGGTCACAAGGGCGTGAACAACCGTGAGCAGGGCCTCCCAGTCCAGGAACAGGTGCAACTGATGCACAGCCCTAAGCTGTGCAAAGGTCCTCCTAACCACAGCTGCTACCTGCTCTTTGAGTAGGAGCTGTGAATCCATGAGGACCCCAGATTGCACACCGAGTCTGTCTGGGCCACTGCCACCCCATCCAGAACCAAAGATGGAAGGTCCCCAGAACCAGAAGGTCAAAAAACCCAGAGCCACTCAATTTTGAGCTGAAGCCTGTTGTGCCCCATCCAGGCTTCCACAGCCTCCAGGCACTGAGACAGAATCTTGACAGCATCACTCAGATGGCCTGGGGTGGAGATATAAAGCTGGGTATCATCAACATACGGTGACACCTCACCCCAAACTGTTGGACGACCTCACCCAGCAGCTTCATGTAGATGTTAAACAGGAGGGCAGAGAGTACTAAGCGCTTAGGCACCCCACAAAGGAGGGGTCGCTGGCTGGATTTCTCCCCCCCCCCCATGAACACTGACTGAAATTGATCTTGGAGGAAGGAGGAGAATCAGCACAACAGTGTGCTGCCCATCTCCAATTCCTGGAGCTGGTCCAGAAGGATACCATGATCAATGGTATTGAAAGCTGCTGGGAGGTTAAGAAGAGTAAGGATGGACACACCACCCCATCCCAGTCCCGCCAGAGATCATACAAGAGTACAGTCAATGCTGTCTCAATCCCATACCCAGGCCTGAACTCTAACTGAAAGGGGTCCAGATAATTTGCTTCTTCCAGAGTCCTCTGAAGCTGCAACACAACCACCTTCTCTACAGTCTTCCCTAGAAAAGGAAAGTTGAAAACTGGACTAAAATTGTCCAGAATGGTGGGACCTAGTGATGGCCCCTTGAGGAGGGGGCAAACCACTGCCTTCTTAAGAGATGGTGGAACTACCCCCTCCCTCAAAGAGGAATTAACCACTGCCAGAACCCAACCACACATCTCTTCCCAGGTGGCCTTAACCAGCTAGGAGGGACATTGATCTAACACAGAGGTGGCTGCACTAACAGCCCCCGGGACTCTGTCCATTTCCTTAGGCCCAACAGGATCAAACTCTCCCCAGATAACTGAGCTGGACCCCCCAGCCCCAGTAACCTCCACATGACCTGCATCAAGGACAGAGTCAAGCTTAGACCGGATCTGATCAACTTTGTCAGATGTCTAGCGTACTCTTCATAGCGGCCCTGTACGTGAACCACAGAACCACTCCCACCCAGGAGGGACTAGATCACCTGAAACAGGCTGCTGGACAGCTATCATCAGAAACAATAAGGGCAGAGAAATATTGACATCTCGCCACCCTTACCACCATGAGGTAGACCCTAATAGCGGCTCTAACACATGTTTAATCAGATTTACTACTTGTCACCCTCCAGCAGCGATCTAGGCATCTCTTCTCCTGCTTCATTTCCCTTAGCTCCTCCGAATACCAGGGGGAGTTCTGGGTTCCCCAGGGAAGGAGAGGCTGGTCAGGCACCATCTGATACAAAGTCCTTGCTGCCCTCTCATTCCATGCAGCCACCAGGGCTTCATTTGGACAGTGTAGCAGACCCTCTGGAACAACCCAAAGCTCCTTCTAAAACCCACTAGGGTCCATTAGTCACCTCTCTGCAGTGGGAGGTGGTTCCAGAGAACTGTAAGGTAACCAGAGAGTGATCTGACCATGACAAGGGAGAAACTAAAACCTCCCCCAAACCCAGATCATCTTGCCACTGCTCCAACAGAAAAATCAGGTCAAGCATATGACCACTGTTATGCATCAGGTGTGGATGACTTGGGACAGGCTTATGGCTGTCATGGCGGCCATGAACTCCTGAGCTATGTCTGACTCCACCCCCAGAGAAGGCAAGTTGAAGTCCCACAGCATCGTAAGCCTGGGGAACTCCACTGCCAGCCTGGCCATGGAGTCAAGGAGCTTGGACAGGGAGATTTCTATGCAGCAGGGAGGCTGCATAGTCCTGACTGAACTCTAGAGCCCAACCTAACAAAGAAAGTATTGCATCCAGTAATCTGCGGGGCAGTACCTCTGGAAATCTCCCAAGTATCTTGGATGACAACTGCCACCTCCCCATCTTTACCCTGGGGTCTCAGCTGATGCCACTCCCAAATCCCAGCTTGGCACTCCCTCTGGACCCAGCCAGGTTTCAGTAATACACGCCATACATGCCAGGTCAGCTGTCTTATCCATGAACAAGTCAAGGATGAGGACAGCTTTGTTACACATTGACCTGGTGTTTAGCAGCAACAATCGAAAGCCTGGGGCCTGGAGTGTGCCACTGGAACCACATACCTGTGGCGCATTCCCTGAGAATGGCCCACCCCTGTCTCCCACCATATCTCCCCCTACCTATCAACACTGTGATGTTACAACCTGTCCCCACACTTCCCAAGACTTCTCATTCTCTTTCTTCCTGGCCCATGCCCACGCCCA